TGATTACTGACTTAGTGGCCCATTTCTATCAATATGTTGAAAGATCCAGAGCTTGGCAACATGTTATACACACTAATTTTGAAGCTGATTTCCATAATGCTTGAAAGGTTACCCTGGATGTCAAACAACATTATATTGATATGCAAAAGATCAAGGATAGACTTGTCACTACATGGGGTATTAACAGGATTGATGCCATATAGTCAAAAGTGAAGAGCCTGTGGGCAGCATAAAAGCTTCACCATACTTTAAATGTCTACAAGAATTGAGATAAGTTTGCCAATAATATTAACAGTGCAGTGCTCCAAAGACTAGATGCTACAGGGGCTGGACATTGCTGGAGCTTAGCTATATTGCCAGGTGATTATACTACAGCTGACAAAGAAGTTGACCACATATGTGAACTTTCTTCAAGAGATGCCCTATACTGATGAGGCCTTACCATTGGCAACTACAGTCTTCTACAGCTGTTGGCTCTTTCACAGTCATCTAGCTCCCAACATTCAATTCAGAATATTACTAGGAGCCCTCCTACTGCAAGCAGCTTCTGAGGTCTACTGGAAGGACTGCAGTCTCTAAGATCATCAAGAGATGTTCTAATGAGTGGAATGTCTATGCCACATAGCTGCAATGTGTTGGGAGCCTCTATACATAGCACAATGTTGATTAGATCATGTGGATTTGAAACTGGCCAATCACAGCTGCCATTTGAATTCACCAGCGCGCTGGCCAATCCACCCAGCCAATCAGAAGCTCCAAAGCACCACAGTGAAAGAATTGCAGCCATATTGGCACACCAAACCCTTCAAGACTTAGATGATGATGATGAGTCTGTTATTCCTTCTGAAAGTGATGAAGAGATATCTTGACACAAGTGTGAAGAATCTGTCATGGCAGTATGCTTTGATACTTGCTGTTGCTGTAGATTTGAACAGCAACTCCTGCAAAAGATAAAGAGTATTAAAACACATTCAGAATTGGAGCTTATTTGCATCTTGGAGCAATTAGAAAAGACATTTAGTGATAAGAAAGCTGATATCTATCTATGCTATGACCATGCAAAACTAATGGCTTCAAAACTCAGGTTGCAGACTTGCACACTTAATAGGGAGAAGCTTCTCAATCATTTGACTCACATCTATAGAAATTGTTGCAACATTGGCTCAGTCAAGATCAATAACAGCATCTATCTCTGGTTCTGTTTGGCAAATAGACTGGCTAGAGCTGAAAATGCTTTAGGCATTTACAAATTCAAACATCAGCCAATTATCCCTCTGGTCACAAACATGAGAATGTTTGACTTTAACTGATACATGTGGATCACTGGAGTTAACAAGTTCACCACCAGCAATCTTCAGAAGAAATAGGAGACCACTGGATCTGTTATTATTCCCCAGCTAATGTACTGGTGGAATAATAGATTACAAGATGCCACCACTACAGTACTCACTTGGGTCAATGGTGAATACAATATGTACTACCATCATCAGTAAATGATGGGAGATTGTGACAATTATGGATGGTTGAGAACAATGTACCACAGTATTGGCCAACAACTCATGCGCCAGAACCCTGTGTACTACCTATAGTATATGCTGACAAGACCTGACCATGCTTGAAAATTAATCTCCTATTCATATTACACCAAGTATGCTAAGCCAGAGGATAAAACTGGATTTTGCCATATCAATGTCAATGTTCCAGATGCTATTACTACTGAAAGAGGCATTAACATGATACAAGGATTCTTGATCTTAACAGCAGAAGAGTCTGGTGACTGCACAGAAATCTTGCCAGGAATGCATAATCATCTAGAGAATTGGTGGGAACTAGTTAAAGAACAAGACTTATCTACTGATGGCTATGTTCACTGCATTAAGAATACAATGTATACTAAAGATGACAAAAGAAAATTTGGTATTAGGTGGATCAACATCATTTGCAAACCTGATAATGTCTGAATTACAAGCTCTCTGCTGCCCTATGAAGCTTATGGTTCATGCAAAAAGATCTGGTGTACTATGCTACTCTGGTATGTGGCAATTCAGAAGGACCATGAACATCTTGAAGTCAATAAAGCTGGTATCTGGTTACAGCTCTCCACTGCACATAGAGATCTAGTTCCAGGGCCATCATCACCTTCCAGCCATTCAAACTGTTACACATCAGTTCCATATTGATTCCCTACTGCTATTCAATTGCAAGGCTTAGAAGCTATATTGGATGCCTTGGTAGACTGAATTAGATAGGACAACTCTATGGTGATTGAGGAGCTCAATACCCTCTTTGGACCAGAAGAGAAGAAGGCTCAGAACTTCATTAATAACTGGTGTCTAAAGGCCACACAAATTGCTTTGGATGCTATTGTCAAGATATACCAAATTGAAAAGAAAGCTTTTGGTAACAAATTCTATTGGCATTACATGCACAACAATATTGACCCAGTGTCAGTTCAGTCTTTCTCTCCTCCCAAGAACTTGATGGAAGAAGAGGATCATGGTGATCACTATTAGAAATTACTGCTGTCACTCTCTTTATTCTTATTTCCTATCTCTTTTCTTACCAGATTGTTACTAATTCTTAGCCTCTTATTTTCTTTACTAAATTGCCTTTGTTTTGTTTCATATATTGCCTGTTGTCAGGGGATGCCAACAGTGAAAGCCAGGAGGAAATGTAGTGGGGATTCCAGTACTATATTAGGATAAAGGTTGTTCTGGTCTGAGGCACAAAACCCCCTCAGCTACTATCTCTGAGCTATATAAACCACCCATAGCCCCTGCATCTCACTCAATACCTTCATGCATCTTTGTACTTTTCCACACACTCATTCTTTATTGCTGGTTTGGTTATTAGTTAGAGAATATAAAGATCTCTTGTTCATGAAGCTTGCCACTGTTTCTCATTAGAGCTGCCTGTGTTAGTACAGGCTCTTTAGTACTATTATTTCTTATAAGCTTAGGTGTCTGTTAAGGCATGCTTCTCTGTTCTTACTACTCAGCCATTACCATTCTTACTATGTTGTGATTTTTCATCCTTCTTGCACTCTCACCATCTTAACCAACTTGCCTACTTTGACAAGGCATCCCATCATACCCTGCTTCAATATCACAGTATCAGCCAACAACTTATGTGCCAGGACCCTGTATACTACCTATAGTATGTGCTGACAAGACCTGACCACACTTGAAAATTAATCTCCTATCCATATTACATCAAATATGCTAAGCCAGGAGATAAAACTGGATTTTACCATATTAATATTAACATTCCAGATGCTATTACTACTGGAAGAGGCATTAACATAATATAAGAATTCTTGATCTTAACAGCAGAAGAGCCCAGCAACTGCACAGAAATCTTATCAGAAATGTATAATTATTTAGAGAATTAGTGAGGACTAGTCAAAGAACAAGACTTATCTACTGATGGCTATATTCACTATATTAAGAATGCAATGTATACCAAAGATGACAAAAGAAAATTTGATATTAGATGGACCAACATCATTTGCAAATCTAGCAATATCTGAATTACAAGCCCTCTGCTACCCCATGGAGCTTACAGTTCATGCAAAAAGATCTGGTGTACTATACTACTCTGGTATGTGGCAATCCAGAAGAACTATGAACATCTTGAAGTCAATAAAGCTGGTATCTGGTTACAGCTCTTCACCACATATAAAGATCTAGTTCCAGAGCTATCATTATTTTTCAGCCATTCAAACTGTTATACATCAGTTCCATATTAATTCCCTACTGCTATTCAATTGCAAGGCTTAGAAGCTATATCAGATATCTTGATAGATCAAATTAGATGGACCAACTTTATAGTAATTGAGGAGCTTGATACCCTCTTTAAACCAGAAAAGAAGAAGACTCAGGACTTCATTAATAACTGATATTTAAAGACTACATAAATTGCTTTAAATGCTATTGTCAAGACATACTAAATTAAAAAGAAAGCTTTTAATAACAAATCTTATTAGCATTGCATGCACAATAATATTGATCCAGTATCAGTTCAGTCTTCTCCTTCTTTTAAAAACTTGATGGAAGAAGAGAATCATGATAATTACTATTAGAGATTGCTGCTATCACTCTCTTTATTCTTATTTTCTATCTCTTTTCTTATCAGATTGTTACTAATTCTTATTCTCTTATTTTCTTTACTAAATTATCTTTGTTTTGTTTCATATGTTACCTGTTGTCAGGAGACACCAACATTGAAAGCCAGAAAGAAATGTAGTGGAGATTCCAGTATTATATTAGAATAAAGATTGTTCTAGTCTGAGGCACAAAACTCTTCTAGCTACTATCTCTGAGCTATATAAACTGTCTATAGCTCCTGCATCTTGCTTAATATCTTCATGCATCTTTGTACTTTACTATACACTCATTCTTTATTGCTGGTTTGGTTATTAGTTAGAGAATATAAAGATCTCTTATTCATGAAGCTTGCCACTGTTCCTTATTAGAGCTGTCTGTATTAGTATAGAACTCTTTAGTATTATTATTTCTTATGAGCTTAGGTGTCTGTTAAGGCATGCTTCTCTGTTCTTACTACTTGGCCATTACCATCCTTACTATATTGTGATTTTTCATTCTTCTTGTACTCTCACCATCTCAATCAACTTGCCTACTTTAATGAAGCATCCTATCATACCCTGCTTCAATGTCTTCTGCTGAAGAGATGTGTTAGATTATAAAGTTCAATTTTAATAATCTCAGTATCAACTATCAGATTGAGATCTATATATCTCTTACTTGGCTTATTAGTCAGCAACTCAGCTACCTGAGTTTTATGCTTTTCCCACACAAAAGTGTTAGTCATGTGACCAAAGAGTTGGTATTTACTGGGATAAATAAATCATTCTTAAATAGATGAGTCAGACCAATATGAACATATTTATTGTCTCTCTACTAGATCATATCTAGTTTGACAGGTTTCCACAATCTGTGTAGATTGTGTGATCCTTATATGTTCAGAGTTGGGGTCACATAAGTTCCTCTGAACATCTGATGTTGTCTGATGCTTGGTTGGTCTAGGTCTACATTCATAACAGAAGTACTCAGAATCTTGTTTGAGAATGCTGACATATTCATCTCTGTCAAAATTGCAAAATTCCAGTACTCTGTACCAATTCTATTCAATCATTACAACTTGGAGATCAAAGAGATAGTTATAAAGCTAGAAATTCTTTGTATTTCAGACTGCTCCACTTTTCATTCAGAGTAGTCTTTCTTATTAAAGGCCTTTATAATCTGTTTAATGTTAAACTTAGAGTCTTAAAGATCATCCAGATATTTCTCTTACAGACATCTTGTTATCCCATTCTTTTCATCTTTGATCTCTTGTCTTGAGAGCCTGGCATCAGTACCAGAGCTTTCATTATTAGAGAGCTTTCATGTATGTTTGCTGTAAAGAATATAAGCAGAATCTAGATCTGCTGTTTTCTTCATTGCATGCAGGAGCTCATGACTGTATTTCAGGCATCTCCAGAGTTTGTTGTAACTCAAGAGAGATAAGTTAAGACTTAAGAGAATTAGTATTGACAATTTGTTTGAGAGCTTGCATTAACTGTACATCAGAAGTTGCTTCTTGATTATAAGAGATCTCAGAGATAGAAGAGAGCTCTGGAGAAGAAGAAGATCTGTTTGATGCAGATTAGCTCCTTAGCCGTTATAATATAAGAATGCCAGGTGTTCAAATGTCTGGTGTAATAAATTCCACCATCCATGGCACGTGCACAAAACGGAGCCGGGTATATCCAGCAACTTGGAACTTCTTCCGCCCTCTTGAATCTTGGGTTTGGCCTGCCTAAATGGCAATCAACCCCCCGCTGCCTTCTTCCCCCCAAGGCCTTCCATTAGCCACGGGTCAACAATGAGTTCTCTAACGGTTGGCCGCTCCTCAGGAAGCCACCGAAGTATCCTGCGTAGGAACTGTAAATAGCCAGCCTTGTTCTCCCCTATGATACCCGTGCTTAGGTCTTCAAGTGTAAGCTCAGGCATTGGGACTGCGTCCGTCCATTTTCCTAGACCAAAATAACGAGTCAGCATGCGATATTCGTTTGGATTGAGATATTAAATAAAGCCGTTTGATTACCATTCTCATCCCAGAAACTCTGACATACAGCGCTTCTGCGTCTGAATTCCGGGGGTGGCGGACCCAGAAGTGCCCCAAGGTGTGCAATCATGAACCTATCATCAGGTTCTCCGGTCTCAGGGTTACGACGGTCGAAGAGAGGGCGAGGAGAAACGAGATGCCAGGTCTGAGCCATCAAGTCAGCAAATGTATATCACGAGATGGTATGGCATGGTGATTCTCTCACCAACGGCGCAATGCTCCAAATATCAACCTTCTCATCCCAGGCCATACGCATAACCACTTCCGGAGGCCTGAGTAAATCGGGCATAATGTCGTCGGTATGGGGATGTCCGTCCTTGTTCATAAATCTCGCCTCTCCAAAGTCACAAATGAGAGGGAAGCCCCGACGTGGACGAGGGAGTTCTTTGGTCTGGTAGATGACCCGGTCGCTAAGCACTTTCCGGGCGGAAGGGTTCTTGATTTCATCCTCCTCCAAGTCGCTAAATATCAACGGGCTATCCACTGGGAAAAGGAGATTCTTTGGCTGGAGGTCTGATCCACCGTTAACTTGGTCCTTTGTTAAATTCTGGCTAGCATGAATTACCTGTGTGTATTATTCCCGCTGTTGTATGCAGAAAATCCAAACCAAACAGACACTGTCGAAGAAACGGCTTCAATAACTCCAAACTCAGAGATCTTGTGGGGATAAATTGTAAAAGCCCATGGAGGCTCATTCCCAGAGCCTGCTGTACAAGGCACATGTGCACGCCATGTGGTCCTTTGATCTCGAATGAGGCAAGCAATTTGCGGATATCCTGATGGCCTGGATGTGTTGTCTCAGCAGAGACAGTGTTGATGTGCTGTAATACTGCAAGCTCATCACCTCTGACATAGCCATTTGTGTATATCTTGAGGGAAACATATGCAGAAGGGCCCTCTGAAGTCCTGCAAGAAAGCCGTGAGTCCCACTGTTCATCTGGGGAGGATCAAAAGATAAGAGGTGCTTACTGGAGGTCACGAGCAAGCCATACAGTCGAGGTTGTTCCATAGCCAATCTTGCAGAGTGCTTGGTATCTGCCGTTGAAGACTTCCCCAATGTTTGCTGGGTAGAACTGCTCAGGCTTGTACCCTGGGAGAAGTTCTTCTTCGATGGGATCTGTCGGGTCCAGTTGTTCAAATCCAGATGTCGGAAACGAACGTGCCGCCATGGGCAGTGTTGTTCCCAACAAGGGTGACGAGGACATCGCAGCTCTTCTAGTGATGCTTGGATGGCGTTGGGATTGCAGTGTTGGTCGACATACAGGCGAGAATGGAGGATGAGATGATCGGAACGCCCCGTGCCACTTTGGCAGAAGGCAGCGCGGGTAGCCGGTGCCAAGTGACTGCTGAATACACACCCTCATCTCACACAGCATTCATGAGTTGCTAGTTCTTCTGCCCGTCTCTAAAGGCTAGTACCTCGAGGAGGAGGAGTCTGCGAGCTGAAGCATCCCGGCCTGGCTGGACCGTGCGCTCAGCGCTGCCAAGACCGTGTCTTCGCCAACGTCGTGGAAGAATTCCTTCCTTCACTGCCAATTACTATATTTGGGGGCATCCGAGATTTCTAACCGCTGGAGCAGATTAACAAAATGCAAGGACTAGCTAGCCCCTACAGCTGAGATGTTTCACGTTTTCGTGGCCTAGTAGTAGCTACTAGGCCTAGGTGGGCGGCTTGTACTCCTCGCACCTCTGCGTTTCCTACTTCAACACGCTGTGCTCGTACTAGGATACAGTGCACAAGCGTCTACGTCCGATTCGGGCGAGGCATCATAGGCTCTGTAGACTGTACTGTACCTCTGTGCTGTCTGGCTACTCTGCTTACTTTGGAGCCTCAACGGAGAGGCATCACCAGGCCGGCTGATGGCCAGGCGCCTGTGCTCAAGATTTACACTGGAGACGCCGCTCATCAACACACGAATAACAGCGCTCTCCTGAAGCAATGCCGAAGCTTATGCAGCGTAGAGGTGTTAGCTGGAGTATATGGATTTGTCTTGGTTGGACAGGAGGCTGCGAAAGGGATTTTGGCCCTTGTGCAATCTTCGAAACGGGCTGGGATAACTGCATGGCCCCAAAAAAGAAACCGGCTATATAAACAGATAGCCTGAGGAAGACAACGGCGCTTAAGGATGGCTGATTTCTCGTGGACATAAAAACCGTCATTTGCTCTTGGGAAAGAAGAGATCTTTCCTCTCCAAACTTCAATCCCCTAAATGCTCTCCAGGCAAAATCATACAATAAACTAATATATTAAACTCCTCTCGTCAACCCCTTTGGATAACTACTCCTTTCGTCACCATGAACCCTCTGAAACGCACCATCGATCCGCTAGCGAGTCAACTCTCACGACCGTTCAGCTCCTCTGCATCTCAGCTGGCTGAGATCCCTCAGGATTTCCTCGACTCCATCAGAACGCAGAACGGCCCAGATGGGGAACAGTGGGAAAATCAGTTTCGCGAGCTAGTGGATAGAATTGAGCAGCTGCAAGTTACACCTTCCCCTCATTTGATCGATGTGAAGAGTACCGGAGCACAACTAACATTGCTCCAACTTGCAGGACAATCGTATCCAGGTCGTTCGCGGACAGTATGTCCTCCTATGTAACCTATTCACTACCCCGCTTGCTAACCACATGTTACAGTGGTAGGAGAGCCCACAAGTCACACAACGATCCAAAAGACCCGGTCTTGGTACTGTCGTTTCACCTGGAGACTATAAAGGGAACGCGAGTTGGTGGTGTCCACATGCATCTGGATGGGACCTGGAAGTTTTTCCCTTCCCTCAATGGGAAGAGACTTGGGGTTGATCAGGTTCTAAACAAGGCTGGAATCAAGGGGTTGATTCTAGAGACTATCGAGGAGGAGACTAGGGAGACTTGGGATGCTGCGAAGAAAGCGGAAAACTAAAGACGCGTCCTTTCGCTTGGGAGTATCGATGGTGGTGACATGGCCAGATGGTGGCAGTCAAATTTGGACAGGGATTTTGTCAGAACACAAGTGAAGGAACTGTACCACATAAGGATTAGTCCTTTTGGTGCATTCCAAAGATTTCATTAGCCTGATGTTATCATATCTTTGCCAAATGGATAATTATATACTCACCCACTTCGCTGCAGCCTTAACATGGCCAGTTGGCGGTGAAGATTTCTTATGGCTTGAAGCTGCCGATATCTGGTAGCATAGTTAATGGACAGGCATTTGATCGGGAGGGCGAAGGCTAGCAAAATGACCAACTTGAGAGCATACATGTTGTCATGCCCTCGTATTTTTTGATAGAGCTTTGGCCAACGGACATGAGCTCCAAAAATTCGATGTCAGGCGACACAGCACTAGTATCTTTGAAAAAAGGGCAGCGCTATTCGCGAGGTTTCAACCACCTGCTCCAGGCACCTTGGCTTGCCAGGAGCAAGCGGACGGCCATGGCGGACGGGAGTCAACCTCTGCTCGCGATGTTTCGACGTGAAACCATTGCTTTTCTTGCGCTACTTACGCTATTAGCTGTCTGTGATGGACTCCGTAATTTTGTCCTTGAAAAGTTTGTTATGGCAGTGTGCAAGGCATGCCGCAGATACGAACAACCCGAAACAATATTATTATTACTTCGAGTCAAGGCATTTGAAATAATGGAGGTTTTCGACTGTGAATGATAGATATGTCTGCCAGTCAATATTGCGGCATATCAGACAAGCTCCTGAATGACCATACGCAAATCAAAGAATAGTGTCGAGACTACCTACTACTGATACCAGCAAAGCGGCACTAGAACCCTTGGGTTGCGAGGAGCATAGGTATAACCACAATGCATTCGAACCCCCGGTGTCCTCTCCTGCGTAAGGTATTGAACGCGAGTGGTATTCTAATGGGATGGTTGCCGACCCAGTGGGAAATAAGCATATTGCGACGTCCAGCATCAAGCGAGCGGTCGATACCAATCAACGGTCCGAACGCTGGCCGGAGCCCTGACCACAGACCAGTGGTCATCAGAATCAGGGATCTTAATACCCTTCCATGTCGTCCAGTTTTTCATTGCAGTGTTTATCAGCAAGGTCGTTGTCTTCGCGGGGAATCCAGCGGTACGTCACACTGCCTAGATCTTGAACGTCGTCATCAAGATCCGAGGCCTCCTGGATCAGATCCCGGTTCGCCACCTCTTCTCCTCGACTGTTGGTCCAGCCATTATTGCTCCACTTGTAAATCCACTTAGTCATGCAGCCAATCGCATACCTGGAGTCCGAATAGATCGTGACATCGATGGATGGGGATGTGTCCAGCTCTTTGTATCTGTCCAATGCCATTTGCAAACCAAGGATGATGGCAGTGATCTCAGCCCGTTGGTTCGTGGCCTCCCCGGAGACCTGGCACGTTCGGTACTCATAGTTGTTTCCCCAGCGATATTGGAGAACTGCGGCTGCGGCAGCGATTGCATTCGAGTAGCCATTGTACCTGCACCCTCCATCTACGTATATCTCCATCCGATAAACCATGGCGGCGGGCGGATGCGACGGCGAACACGGCTGAGCGTGGTGTATTTGGACTCACACTGTGTCTAAGTACTTGTAGATCGTTTCAGCTGGAGAGAACTTGAAGCTTTCCAAAGTGTAGACCGATTTAGCTTGTCAAAAGACTCGGACTTACCTGCACTGTTTCTCGGGTTTCCGAGGTGGCCGTGGTGTTGGTTGTTGGTTGAAGATCGAAACAACCTCGCTCAGGGAACTCACTTGCAGGCTTCTTTGTGTCGTTCCCCGGCGGGCTTCTCCCACTTGGATAGATTCAGTCTACTAGGAATCGACGGTCAAGCAGGAGTTCAAACGTTGTCCTCGTCGGAGCAGGAGGAAGCGGCCCTTGGGACCTTGGGTTGGGATGGTTGACTCCCCCTATTTGGGGCTGTCAGATTTTTTTTTTGGGATATCTCTCCGGAGTCTTCCTATTTCTATTGGACCGGAACACCGAGTGGCCCCGCCGGACCCGCAGGCCTTGGCTAATTGGGCTGAACTTAAAAATTGGTGTTTTCCTCCTTTTTTTCCTTTTCGGGAAATATGACGCAGCGTCTTATGGAAATACAGCGAGCTCATCCGTGTTCAAGCACTCTTCGCACGGAGATGCAAAGTGTCATTACAGTTGCAAGGATCATAGTGGTCTTAGTCCCTGAATGCTGCGACCTCCACCACCCGCACAATTGTTGTCTGACATTCGTGGTTGGTGTAACAATACTACACGTAATGCCTGCTGCCTCGGACTATTGTGTCACTTGGAGCGGTATTTTCACCCAATATTCGGGCTTGCCGTCTTCAGCAGGCTCTGCCTTTTCGTCAATCCCCATCTCATCATAGTATCTCTGCAGGTCTCATATCTTGGCCCGCACAAACTGCTCCCGGTCACGGTAGGCAAAACTTGTGCTAGTCGTACGCGCTACCCCCTTGCCCACGCTACCTTGCCATAAATGTGGTTGTCCAGGACGCCCCAGACGAGCGCGTCCAGGCTCCAACCATTGCGGATGGCGCTGTTGAACCAGACTGTCCTGCCCTGTAGGGACTGCCGCATGCGCATAGACAGTCTGTTTCGCCCGGAAATCGACTCGATACCGGCGTAACGTTCTGCCTCTTGTTCTTCGAGCGCCTGAAGGAAGAGGTTGAACCGCGGCACGTACGATTCCAGGGTGGCCTCAAGGCCCTCATCTTCAACCCAATGGGCGATGCGCTTTTTGAGAAGCCACTTTGGCGGACTGGCAAGGAACTACGCCGGTGCTGTGTAGGAGAACTCCCAGTCGATCACAGCGGTAACCCTAAGTGTTGAAGGGTCAACCAGCATGTTCCCAGGCCCTAGGCCATCACAGAAGATCTTGAAAGGTCCATTAATCTCGTCCACTGCTGTGAAGAAGGGCACTATTGACTTGAATAGGTGTCGACAGGTGTATCTGTCGCGGGCGGCGCGGGAGTCATATGCGATATTGAGCTGCTCCCTTAAGTGTGTAACATGCAATTCGGCCAGCTCCATAGAGTAATCGAATGAGGATGAGTATGTCTCTCTCTTTGGCAGTACAAGACGCTCTGCAAGCCCGCCAAATCGCAGCAGCTCATTCATTTGCATTGACAGCGGTCGGTAGGAGACTGCTGGCCGGGGAGCTGAGGATGTGTTTGCAGTAATTTTCGTCGCGTAGGCAAGCGAGCCAATCTTGCCAAAGTCGAGAGACCACTACCCAAGTAGCACCTTGCCCACTTCGCCATACCGCTGTTTCAACATCTGTTCATCAGGGCCATCGTCTACCACCGTCGTATTGCCTCATCGTCTTCATCTGCCGAGCTTTCATCTTTGTGTCCAAGGAGTTCTTTCATCGCCACCCCTTCCACCCACCGCATGATAAGAAATGGCCCCAGGCCTGTCGGATTCTCTTCAACAGTGCCACCGGCGAAGAGATCCGGGATTGGGATTGCAGTGTTGTCTCGCAAAAACCGCATCATCGCAGCCTCGTTCCGGAATTCCTCCTCGACAAACAATGCCTTTCCCGGGATCAGAAACCGGATTAACCAGTCAGGTATGCCGCTCGTCTCCCTGTCGACCCAACGCACGCGTAGTAAAAAAATTAAACGAGCCACAGTGCTGCAAGAGGATGTAACAATTTCCTTGCGTGCCATTGTACTGCTGTCGCTTTGCTTCGACCAGGTCGCAGATAGCGAGGGCTGATTTGGAGAGCTGGCTGGCAAATCCTGCTAGGAGTCGGTCCCTTTCTCCATCGAATCGCTCGTCGGTACGCATTGCTGGCTTGATTAATTTACAACCTGCTCTTCCTCGAATACTCAAGGGAACAAGACGAGGAATCGCTCAAGTTGTGCTTGTCTCTTTTATCCACAAGGGTCCCGAGCGCGAGACGATCTTGACGCCGTCTGTCAGTGGTGATGCGTCTTGCTGGTCATGGTCGACAAGGCTGTTTTGCTAGCTTCATCTTTGTTTATATGCAGGTATCATATGCAGGTAATTAGGCAGCATCGCATGCCCCGCGTTAGACCTTCAACCCTAAGGGCGTTCAGATGAGCACCAGACCAGAACTTTGGATGGCAGTAGAGTGGTGTCCGGGTTGTTTTGTACAGGATATCCCGAAGAGACTCAGGGTGCTTGGGAGGTTTTGGACGGTCAACAGGCCATGAAGAGGGCATGGCTTCCTCGGGTAAACAAAATATGGGGAGTTATTAGTACCTACGACTAGTCTTGTTGAAACCATTGAAAAGTTCAAGTCGGTGAGGAGCAGTGATGACAAAAAACGACAATCTGCTGACTAAGCCAGATTTCGCCGAAAAGTGTGCCCCAAAAGCACCCAGGCATGTCCTCTAAGGGGTCGAAGCCAAGACCTGACATCGAGGAATCAATGACCAAGTGGCCAACCTCGCTGTTGCAGACTGCAGCTAGATTTTCCTATTTTACAGGAGCTCGGCCTCATCCGAGGGCAAACTTACCTGTCCTTCACCGGACTTCTTATTTGGCAGCGTCAGACCGCATAAACTACCGCACTCTGGGTTATGATATCCAAAACTCTCAGATTAATGGTAAACAATGGAATCCATGTGGCAAAATTTCAAATCACAACAAGAATCGATAACATGTCGCAAAACGGAGGAGAAAACACAATGCTGAAGCCGTTTTCTGCTTCATAACAGGGATGATTCCTGGCTGCTCTGTCCTGCTGGGTACAAAGTGGCTATAAATATGTTGATGTCAGGAGGCTTGACTTTGTGATAAAATGAGGAACCGCTAACAACTACCGGTCAGACCAGCTGACCGAGCCCTGACCCGGCGCGTGTACTTATGCGGCGCACCATGGTGGGATACCCTTGAGGCGTGGTCCGTTGCTTTCCAGGTAGTTGCCCATTGCAAGCAAGAGCTGGGCCGCCTCGGCAGCGCCATCCCGCGAAAGGTCATATTCCCGGCTAACCAAAACATCCAGGTTTTGTCCTTTATCGCCATCTGTGAGGAACCTGAGGCTTGTCTTTTGTATCGAATCCACAAGTCGATCGACGTTACGCAGTTCACAATAGCGTTACGCATGGAACAAGACCAGGCCAATGCACCAGGCATATATTTACTCAGAACCTGGTGATATCTTTAACAAGAGTTGGGAGCAAAAGTGACGAATATATTCGGGACTAAAGGTTGCCGTCTTTAGGAAAAATTGATCGCTGAGCTGCAGAAATTAAGAATACCCTGGGATACCTTCAGGTTAGTTGCATCAACAGAGTAAACAACTTATGTTCTATCATACTCAGAGATCTCAACGGGGTCTAGATCGGCATTTTTTCTTTCGACGGCCCTTTGCAGACACTAACACATCATCCACATTAGCTGAGATGTTTCTTGAGCATTAACCGCATCACTCACCACTCCATTTTTTTGTCATCGTTCCGTTCAGCCAAGCGAGCCTTGATCTGAGTACATCGGGAGTTAGTCAATAGTCTCCAAGAAAAATACTTCCAACCTGGCTCTGGCCATGTGCAGAGAGTTATGGGTGCCTTGATCGGACGCATGTTTCACGAAAAAAGGATGTTGCTGTCAAGTCATCTTCAAACAGCTAAATCCCGAGCTTCTTAGAAGCTGTGCTGTCAGGTATATTGAGGCTTAGCGTCGATGGGTTTCTGTTTTGCTATTTTGGAATTTCCAACATGCATAAGCGCCCGAAATTCGGTTGGTTGTGGATGGCCTATTTTGCAAGTTCCCAGGACTGTAAGGCCCAGGGTTGATTGGTGGTAGGCCCCTGTATTTGAATTTCTCGGGGGCTGACACCCGCCACGGCGAATGTTGATGTAGATACCTATATCTGCATGAAACAACATCGCTAAGGGAGCTAATTCCACAATGAAAGCCCTGCCGCTGGTATGGAATTATTGGTAACTAACGGCCCTGCACCGGCCCCACCCAGTTTTCCGGTCGGAAGGATCGGAAATATTGGTCTAGAAGAGCGGTTAGGGAGAGGAAAATTAATCGTTGGTCATGGATCATGAGCATATCCATTGGAGGAGACATCTCCAATTTGAAAGCCTCTGAAACGGGCATCGCTGGATGCGCAAGCATGTCAAGATAAGACAATGAGACGTGCCCTCGAACGAAGCGGACGCTGGTATTGGTCACCCATATTAAGACGGACTAAAAATAGGACATGTCAGTGGACTGGGAGTGTCGTTAAGGAGGGGAAAAGGGCAGACTGACACACACGGCATCGGAGCAGCATCGAGTCGCTCCCTGGTTTCCACTCTCGACTCTCGTCCTCTGTTACTGTGCCATGGCAATCAAAAGAGCGACCATTTCTGCTGGTTTCGAGGCCCGTCTCTATTGGACCATCCTCTTCTTCTCTTGTTCAGTGGGAAGGGATCTTCTTCAGTTTCTATAGTCATCGTGGTTCCTACAAAGAATAGTGACAATCGGGAAAAAGCTGAACGGGTAATCGCTGTAGTCAGGGAAATCATATATTATCCATTTAGACTTTAGGGCAAGTTTATGCTGGTTCCCTCCCGCATTGTAATGGAGATTTAACGTTGGTTCCACAAAGGAATTCTCGCTGCATTGGGCATGGTCAAGTCAGTCTCTTTCGTTTACAGTCGCCTGCCTTGAAATAACCATATAGGGAGGAAGTACAGACTTTATCTAAGATGCTCGCTGCTCCTTAGGGTATTTCTGAATATCTTCTCTTAAATAATGGATATAATCGGAGTAACTGCCGGCAGCAGAACGCTCCACACTGCACTCCTTATAGATACGAGGGTGTTCTACAATATAGCGCAGCCCCAGCATAAAGTTGCTAATGAAACCCTTGCGCTCGTCTGAATGAGGAATCTGTTCCAACTAGATCCGAATCTGACGGGCGAGGCGAACGGGACAGCGTAGGACATGATCAATAGGGTATTCTCTATCCAGTCCTTCAACACGAAGAACGTCTAGATGGGCATCACACCACTCTTTCGGGTGACAGTATAGGGGTTTCCTGGTCGTTTTCCGAAGAATTTGCTCCAAAGATTCGGGACCGTTCTGGTGAGGTTTCGCGTGGCCAATGAATGGGGGAAAGGACATGCTTCGTCTCAGACAAAAATAGGTATCCAGCAGTCAATGTGCAACAGCCTTTTCCTGAAATTTGTCTTGATGGGAAGGCGTGCCAGAGAGTTGAACGGAGGATGTGCAAAAAGGAGAGGAAGAGACCAGGAACGCGACGGGATTGTTGCTGACTAAGCTGCTCTCCCGCCTCCTCCCAGCTCAGACTAAAGAGTCGCACCACCACCATGAACATCTTGGTCGCCAGACGAGGACTCGAGTCCACACGCAACTTGGGCTGGAAATCTAGCAGAAGTCGAGAAATATGACCCAGCACTCTCCCGAGGACATGGATCCTGGAGGCTGAACCAGTTTTTCAAGCTAGAGTTGAACCGACCGAACACGAAGCAGAACCGCAAAGGATGCGATGGCTTCTCATGCGGAATTGGAAATGTTTGCAAACCAATCATGTCTTGGAGGACGAGTCTCATTGCTCTGCGTTACTCTCCATCACCACTGCTCGACTGCTCGACTGCTCGACTGCTAGCCTAGCGTGAACTGCTCGCCCGCGTTGCTCTGCATGGCTCTGCTTGTAGAAAACGGCTCTGATTCGTGTTGCCTGAGCGAGATCCGAGACATCGTGACGATTGACCGTTCGATGCGAGATCGCAACCACGCAGATGGGGAATGTCTCAATTGTTGTCTCTTGGCTGTTGCTGTTCGTCCATTCGGCAAAACAACGGGTGATCATCAGCTCCGCCAGTGCAAAAGATGTCTTAGTTTCCGAGCTGCGGAGAGCTAGGGACGGACCCTGACATCACAATCACTAGAGCTCCTTCAGGGGCTTGGGGATGGGGGATAGTATAAAAGGACCGGATCTCCCTGCTTAAACCACAAGGTAGTCTAAATCTTTGACGAAGTACTGTTGACATACTGGGCTACTTGTTCGATAGACATATTCACAGAACCGATTGCAAGATGCTTTTCTCCAACCTTGTCCTCGCTGCCTTGGGCGCAGCTGCTGCTTCAGCCCATCCTACGAATACCTGTCCCGGACCCAAGCGGGAGTTTGGCGTGATTGCCATCCATTCCGGTGAGCCAGTGCACCTTTCGGGATTCAACGCGGCGCAGAGCAGCATTTTCGCCGGTCTGCCAAACCAGAACGCCCAATGCGAGCGTCCCGATGAGCGCTTCGCGACCTTCTACCTCGAGAACGGCGCCCTTTACCTGTACACTCCTTCGTCTGCTGAGCCACAGCAGATGTTTGTCGATCGTTCTGGCATGGGTATGTGCTTGTACATGCTGTCCCGTGATACATCTCAAGATCTAACATTTGGTGTGCTGTAAATAGGCCAGGGTAAAATCGGATACCTTACCGGCGACACATCCAACCCTCCTCCTCGATTTGAACTCACCGGCTGGAGCATCAACGGCCATAACCACCTCCAGTTCGCGGGCAAGGACCTTGTTGCTTGCCCAGGCAGCATTGACAATTCGTACTCCATCTGGGCCTCTGGCTTTGCGACTCCGGGTCATAACGAGAACTGCATTGGGATTGCTGCGCGGGTTCAGTATACTGATTCTCCCAATGCTTGCGTTTACACTTAGGGGATGCAGAGGAGTTTTCATTCAGTCAATGCAAGGAGTGTGGTGCAAGCATCGGGGTCATGATAAATGTATTTGACTTTTAGTCACATATTCTGACAGAACTTGAATAGATTTGCTTTGTTGAGGTTAGGTACCCAGAAACCCCCCGAAACTCAACCTTCTCATCGGTTTGCTTTTGGGGGAGGGGAGTACGGCGTTTGAATATTCGCCCCCAAGCGCAAGAGTTAGGTAATACTAGTATTTCCTGAAGATGCAGAAATGATCTATTTCAACCAAGTGTTTATGATAGTGAGACTCTGACTGCCAGCTCCATTCTCTGATGAACATTAAGTAAGAGCCATGATATGATTTTATTACAGAACTTAGTGATGTCCCTTCCTGTCCATGATCAAAGTACAACCACCACTCACAATATCTTAAAACATGCTGTCATTCATCTCATTGCTCTTTCCCACCTGTCGAGTCTCCTTCTCCATTTTCGCCCGTACCCTTTTGAAAAATCTGGCAGACCTTGGCCCAGCTCTGCCTATCCGACCTATTGCTCCCAGCCAGATTCTTTACTTTCTCTATCCATTCCGCTCTAGCAACATAGTCGGGCTGTTTACACTCTTTGTGGATTTGCTGGATGCTAGAGAAAAGTCTTGCCACATTGACCGCGGACTCGCGAGGATGGGTTAGGCACTGGGAGATACAGGCTTCATGATGGGGAAGCCACATCGTTCGATCATACTGGATCTCCAGACCAAGGTTGTTGCAAAGTTCCTCAATCGCGTTCATCCAGTAGGGACGCGGGTGGCACCGAACATCGTCAACAAGTCTTAATGTGATACTCGGGATAATCTGCGCCCAGTTGGCCTGCTCTGTCCAAGAACATGTGACGCGCTCGTGCCCTTTGGGTATAGTATGGAAGATGCTAGTAGTTGGACTGGGTGTTCGTCGATTGCCTTCCAAGTACGCTGGACCAGATGTCTGGCCATATCGTCTGCCCATGGTGTAAGGTTGATGTGTATAGGGACTCCACAGCTATCTGCAAGCGCCACAGCAAGTTTTAGCACATACTCAGCTGCTCTGACAGTATCACTATTTGACATGAAGAATAGCAGTTTGTCTTGTATATGCTGTTCCCATGCGACCAATGGATCAGGGGGGAAGTCTTGGCCAGAAATAAGACTAAGTTGCTGAAGAATCTCAATGCACTTTAGGCAATTTTTGACCAAAATTATTGGCAATTTTGATTCCTCGCCGGCCACTGACAAAGTATGGAGGAGAAGTCGGTTTATAAGGTGGGCCTGTCTGGTATAACCGGACAATGGATTCCTGTTGCGGAGTTCTAGCCTGAGTCCCGGTAAATCATCCTTGAGAAGGCCAATCCAACGTGCAGCATTACAGGTTGGGTTTAGGGATATCTCTGTCTCAAGCTGATCCACGATATGGTCCCAATCGAGTTCAACGCCCTCAGGGCCGAGGTCGAAGATTGGAAGTCCCATCCAGTTGATAGCACTTCCTAGACGACCAGATGAGAGGAAGCCCCCAATATTCTTGCTGACAAGGTGTGTAAAATGCGGCAAGTCAAAATCATGCGGCTTCCCAGGACGTCCTATGAGGAACTTGATAATGCCACACCAACACTGTGAGGCCTTCAACTCCACGGAGGATATTGATGTCACGAAGTGCTGTGAAATAGCACTGTCCCACTGCCGATAATTGATGCAAATTTCCTGCCCAGTTCCCCTTTCTAGGAACTTGATAATATCAACGCCTCTCCTAGTGTTAAATGGATATCCTTTAGAAATGGCCAGAGACAGTCTCTTCGCGATATGTCGATTCCACTGGGCATAGTAGCCTTTTGGCGGCTCAGTTTCTGACGTCTTCCAGAAGTAAACGAGCGGCCCAAGCCAGTCACGCACACTGGTTTCATCAGAATCAAAAATTGACTTCGCAATAAGTTTCACAAGCTTTGGTTCAATATCCGAGGACTTTATTTCCAGTGTCTCTCGCCTGTAGGGCGATGCATGTTTATAGATTCGGAGCCAGTAACTGACATTGTGATGATCATGGTTGTTTTGAATGCATGCCGAGAGATTCTGCCACGCCAGCCTTTGAAAATATGCCAGCATAAAGAATCGAAGGTCGAAATCAATATCATAGAAATATTGATCGGGGTATTTCACGCGCTTTAGAACTTGATTCAAATCCCTTGTTTTCGCCATGTCCAGAAGGTCTTCCATGCGGTGTCTCTGGATATGAGGGCTATTGCTCTTTATCAAGCAACCTAAAAAATCCACAATCGACTCTGTCATACTCTGGTAGAACTCTTCCCCAGTGGTAAAATTGAACTGCTTCCAGTACGATAAGAGATTCCACGGTCTGCCCTGGTCGTACTTTTCGCTCCAGGCTGTCAGGCGGCGGACAGACCAAGGGTCCAGTCGTTCGACGATGAGATATTGGATCGGGTCTGGCTGGCTGTAAAAGAGCCTGAGATCCAAATCTTCCACAGGGTGAAGAGAAATTAGTCTAGTTATAGGGCGACAGGCCTCGTTCACAAGTGCTTCAATGTCGAAGTAGTCGGCTGCCCAAAAGCAACTTCAGCCCCATACTGGAACACATAGTCATACATTTACTGTTCTAGTATTGCATGAATTGGCAGTAGGCCTACCTACGCGAATAACTTCAAAGAGGCCTTTTGGTCCCAGATAATAACCTTTAAATGCCTCTTCGAACGCTGACGGGGGTCTGGGTCCGTTTGCATAGCGCACCACCGAAATACGTTGTTTAGCAGTTTGCTTGGGATCTGTGAGTCGCCCAAGGGGTAGTAACAATTAACAAACGTCTTTGCTGCTGAACAACAAACCAACTGGAAATGATGGCTGGCTAGGAAAGTCATGGTCACAAACGAACACTCGGGATAGGAATAGGCTCGGGGCTATCCCCAGGGTTGACAAGTTCGAGCATGTCCTTGATGACATTGGATTGCAGAGCGGCATCTCGATCTGGAGTGAGAAGAGTCGTCAGTATCAGGAAACACTTGTCATTGAAGGCCCTCAAGAAACCCACCAACAGTCACCTCGCCGCCATCCGAGGCCACAAAAGTAATCATACTCATGGTGGATGCCGCTTTTCAAGCTGAGATGTGCAGTGGTCTCACTCATTGACCTTCTTTCATCCAGCGATGGTGGTGGTTCTTCGAGTTCTTTTTCAACGCGTGTGGTTGAGGAGTCAACTGCGTGTGTGCGGGCAGGCAGGCTGCGGTACACCTAGGCCGAACCGAACACGAGGACTACAGTCACCTTTTGAAAGTCACAACGGAAAAAAAAAAAATATAAAATAAAATAAAATAAAATCATGTTGACTTTCAGACCAGTACTGTAGGGACCCCTACTGGAAATTTCCATGAAGTTTTGCAGTACTTAGCAGGAGTATCCAAATTTGCTGCACTGGTACGGAGTAAGAGGGGGACGTCCCTTAAAAGGCCATGTGCTAGCGTGGCCTTTTTTGTTGGGCAGTGCTGCTTTTACGCCGTGACCACACCAAAAGAAGCCCATGATTCTCCCTTCAATCCTCATCCCTCTCCAAAAATAGCCTGCGGCCAATCTCTATAATGGTCAGAATATATATAAGTCCATACAAGTGCACCATGGGTTCCTTCCATTCTCTCCCACCCATCTCCCTTGATGTTCCCTTATCAATCAGTTGTCCCTCTTTGTCGAGACACTAGTCTCTATGTAGTTAGTCTCCAGCTTAGAAGCGGCTTGGATCTTCTTTGATCTGATGCAGAGTTTCCATCTTGCTTCTCATCCCACAATCCTTTGGAGGGGAGGAGTGAGAGGATTGAGATCTATAAAGTTCATGTTCTGTAGTTCCTATAGCTTCTGCTTATGGTTAGTAGTCTTGTAGACCCTCTGAGAGATTCTGAGCTCTTCTTTAAGAATCTTTGAAGCCTTTGCAGTTGCTAAAAACAGAAAAAACTCTTAATAGAATGATGGACAATGACCTGAAGAGCTCTTCAGCTTCGACCCCTAATCCAACCTCCAGAAATATGAGTCCAGTGGGACATATGAAGGATGCTAGCACCAGCACAGATGCACATTCACAGCTAGCAGACATTACATGATAAGTTAGCTTTCTACAGAGTAGTATTGCAGGTTGCTGGTTCAGAGAAACAACTTTCTAAATTAAAAAGAACTTCAATATAGCAGATAAAATGATTACAGATATTACTAAAACAATAACTTAGTTAATCTTCATGCTACAAGATGAGTGAACAATGACACCAGCTGAACAGAACTATAATATTTATGACAAAGAACTGCTAGCAATAGTAGTGTTACTAAAGAAATGAAAGATCAAACTGCAAGAAAATCAACACCAAACAGAAATCATCTCAGACTATAATAACCTGCAATACTTTATGATGACAAAAGAGCTTATGAGAAGACAAGCCAGATGGTATGCAGATGTACTGGTACACTATGACTTCAAGATAAGATACTGTAAAGATATAGAGAATGCCTGGATGAATGTGCTAAGCTGAAGACCAGACCTGATGAAAAAAGAACAAGATTCAAGAACACTCTTTAAAGAATTGGAAGAAATAAAAAATATGATTCTGAACTAACAGATACTAAGAGTGACAAGAATTATTACAGAAGAATCAGACATTGAAGAAAGAATTAAAGAAGCAATGAGAAAAGATGAATATATAAGAAAAATTGATAAAGAAAAAGAAAACTTCAAGAAAGAAGATGGAATGATACTATATTATGGACTGATATATGTACTCAAAGAAGTCAGAAAATAAGTAATAATACAAGAACATGATACAGTCACTTCAGGACATTTTAGAACTGACAAGATAATGAAGAAGATTACAAGAACTTACTATTGGCCAGGAATGTAGATGAATATTTGACAACATGTCAAAGAATGTGAGACATGTGCATGAAGCAAAACCAACAAAAACCAACTATACAGAAAACTGCAACCAATACTGCAACTGTGAGAATCATGGAAATCTATAGTAATGAACTTCATCATAAAACTTCTGAACTTAAAAAACATGGAAGAAAAGGAGTACAACTCAATACTAGTGGTCACTAACAGATTGAGAAAGTATAGATACTTTACACTATTCAGAGAGGTAATGACAGCACCAGATACAGTAATAGTGGTACTATAAAATGTACTTGCCAACTATGGGATGCCAGAAGAGATAATCACAGATTGAGACATCAGATTCACAAGCAAATTCTGGACAACATTAATAGCATAACTGGAAATCAAACAAAAAATGTCAACAGCCTATCATCTACAAACAGATGAACAGACAGAATGATTAAACCAAATCTTGAAGCAATATCTGTAAGAATATGTTAACTATTAACAAAATAATTAAGTTATACTACTGCTTATGACATAATTAGCTTACAACAGAGTAAAGAACATCACTACAAAAATAACACCATTCTACATGAACTACAGCAGGGAACCAGAAATACAGAAACAATCAAGAATTGCACAACAAAAAGCTCAAGAAGCAGAACTCATAACTATATAACTACAAGAACTGCAAAACCAGATGAGACTAGATATTAAATTCCTGAATGAGAGAATGAAGCACTACTATAACAAAAGATGCCAGGAGGCACCAATCTTGAAAGAGAGAGAAAAAGTATTTCTAATTTGACAGAATATCAAAACCAAAAGATCTAGCAAAAAACTCAATTTCAAAAAATTGGGACCATACAAAATCACAAGACAAATCAGAAAAGTCAACTACAAACTCCAACTACCCAAAAAGATGAGAATACACTTAGTATTTCATGTCTCATTATTGGAGAAAGCACCATTACACACTAAAAAGATGCTTATGAAGATTGACAAAGAACAGAAATATAAAGTCAAATGAATACTGAATCATTAGAAGATCAGCAGAAAACTTCACTATCTAGTGAAATAGAAAGAGTATGATACCTCAGAAAACATCTGGAAACTAACAGAAAACCTCAGAAACACTCAGATAATTATTATAATGTATCATTAACAACACTCTCATCCAGCAAAGCATTAATGAACAAATTAGAGATAATCAGAAGAGAATCTGAAAAAGAAAGATCACTTAATAAAGCAAGCAGGCTCTAAATCTCTGCCTGCTCAGCTATTCTTTTCTGCTTCTTCTTCTTGAGATGTTTCAAGTTCTCTACAGACTTCAACTCAGATTCAAGAAATTTGCCAGTTCAATTGTAAAGCAGCTTTTTCTGTTTTTGAAGATAAAGAAGACAAGAGAGAGTTTCTTACTTAATATGCTTGAGCTTGTCCTGAGTCTTAAATAATTTCTGCTAATCAGCAGCAGAAGAACTATCATTGTGAACACAATAGTGACCAGCACAAACACACTCACTATACTGAGAAGAATGACTCAATTTTAAGCAAGTTTTACTTAATGAAGAGCATCAAGAGCAAGAAAAAAGCATTACAAATCCAGATTGCTCAATAACAGAAAGAAGATTATTCTTGTAAATGTTAGAAGCAGATGATATGATGAAAGAAAATCATAAGAACACTCACTAAGAAGAAAGACAAGAGAAAACCAGAAACTTAAGAAAGAAAGAACACTCTTTTATACTTTAAAAAGCAACAGGCAGAGTGGTTGAGAATAATATGCTGTAAAAGAAGAAAATAATATTATGAATTCTGTGGCACAACAACAGAATATACAGAATAATTGGATGACATCTGACAAGATAGAATTACAGATTATTGCAGAAGAATCTTGAGACAAGAATTATGTAACCAACAATAGAACTAATAAGCTGACTGATTACACTGAGCATGATAGAATTGATCAGAGAATATAGCAATATATTGCAGTAGAATACATAGGACAGCTTAGCAGAACTATCACCAGAGAAGTATCATGTATATAAGAATGCTCATTACCAGAGATCTGATGAACTTGTTCATCATGATCAATCTTCTTACTTATCTACTAGATACCTTTGAATCAGATACTTTCATATCTTAATTACTTTTCATACTACTGAAGTTCTGTAATACTGTACAACTATACCTGATTCCACTACTCTTGAGAAGATTCTATAGCCTTGCTCTGACTCTGTTACACCTGCATGGAAACTCTTTATTGTCAGAGCAAGACTGCTGGCTCAACTGGAGCATCATTGGACTATTAATTACTACCTCAATCTGTTATTACTTACTGTGATACCCTTTAACCCCCAAAGATTCAAGAGTGTCACACAAATACATAACAAGAGCTCAATAACACAACAATATGTAGAAAGTCTCTCTTATTCTTACTAGCTCTGTATTACTATTAGATAATAAGCACTAGCTTAAGAGAGAGCTTTCTCTTACTTTCTCTTTCTTTTTCTTTTCTTCTCTTTCTTCTCTAGTTTATATTATAATTATCAAGATCAGTGAATTCTTCAAGCACTGCTTTATGTGGGAGACAGACTTACAGAAGATCTCTGATATTCTGAAAGAAAATTAAAAATAGCTACATCTTGATACTCTGTCTGTCTGGTCATAAGGTCACAAGCTGGTGAGTTCATCTCTGATTGTATCTTTACTTCATGTGGTCACAAGATTTTGTCTTTGTGTGAGGTTTGGTTTATAAAGAGGCTTATACTTGCTAGAAGCTACTAGTTTACTCTCTTTTTTTTCTCTCTTCTGTAACTTCTCTTCTGTCTTCTCTTTCAAAAGAATTCCCACTCTTCTCTTTATGAAAGATATTGAGTCTTTAGTAAGTAGTTCTGAAAGATTAAGAAGTGCTTGTAACTAATAGTTCTAGAGTATTATTACTTTTCTCTTTTTCTCTTCTTTATTAGTTATTGCTGCTCTCTTTCTGCCATCCCAAGCTGTAAGTGCTTCTTGTGAGCTTATATTTGATTTATATGCTGATGAAGTTAAAGTTCTATTCTGTCTTTCTCTTTCTATAGTTGTTGCTGCTCTGGCTCTGACTGAAAATGTGAGTATTCTCTATCACATTTCAGTTTGTGGCTAATCTTCTCTAGATTATTGTTACTGTTCTTCCTGCTTCAGCAGAGTTTGTAAGTATTATAATTCTGTAAAGTATCTGAAATCACCCAGCACCTCTTCTGTAAGATTAATAATAATGATTTCAGATTATCTTTACTTAATTACTGCAAGCTGGTACTTTTACTAGTGTATTGCAAACTAATCTGGTGATTTTTCCAGATCTTTCACTTCATACTGGGGCACAAGCTCTATCTATCTGTAAAAGAGCATGGTGTTGCAAGCCTATTTAAAAACTCATACTTATTACTAGTTTGAATAATTTAAATTAGTTAACTGTGCATGCTTAGCTTTGCAAGAGTATTCTCATAACTTAAGCTAAGGTTCAGTCATTACTTAGACAGAAGTACTCTGTCTGTAAGAGAGCTCAGTAGGACTATAAAAATATAGTCTTTACAGAGTGCATCTCTGTAAGCTTGAGTCAAAAATATAATAACTGTCTATATCATGGGTATCTTGCTTGCTCTTTCCAGCAGTAAGGTTATAGATAGTTGTTACAGATCTTTGTGAAAGAAAGCCAGAGACTTTTACATAGTCTTTAGCTAGTTCTTTTCTTGTTTTGAAATTAATTTGATTTAGTTTAGACTATGTCTTCTCTCTTTCTAACTTATTTTCTAGTTCCACTATTCTGTCTAGCATCTGGTGAAGCTAAAATAAATGTGAGTAGATAGGCTCCACTGCACTACTAAAAGCTACTCCACTTAGAAATTCAATAATAACTAATAATTGGGTAATTAAGTGGGGCGCCAATTCAGAGGAATGGATTTGAAAACCACACACACCCCTGGTTATCTCTAGTAAAGGTAATTAGTTAGTCATTATATGGTGAGACCATGACAGCTAATTGGTAGGCTGGGATGCTGAGATTAGCAACTGGAAGGTGGAATCTAGTAGGTAGTAGGCTAGCTTAGCTTCTAGAGAACTAGCTACTAGATCAGTAAGCTAAGCAGTAGTGGCTTAACTAAAATCAGAATAGTTAATGCTGGCTTGAGAGAACAGTTTGCAGTGGTCAGTTATTATAGATACATGTATAATAGCTTAATGTGTATCCC